GAGTGGAGCTTGATTCTCTTTTGGAACGGCCCTCTCATAACATTTAGAGGGACAGTCAGGTGTTGTCTGGCCAGGTCGAATCCGTGTTACGCACATGTGTGTGTGTGTGTGTGTGTGTGTGTGTGTGTGTGTGGGGGGGTCCTTGGCCAAGCCAAGCTGATTTGCATGACGCCAAAAGGTGCGTAGGCGGGGTAAAAAAAAGCTCGAATCGTTTGAGGAGGGGGCTGGCGCTTATCGGAGCTGATGAATCTGTTGGAGCTGTTTTGGATTGAAGGTAATTGCCGCGAAGCGCCCATTTTTCGCACGGATCGCTTACGCACATGTCCATAAAAATAGATAGCATGTGCCGAGTAAAGCGCCGGATATGGCAGCTAGGAGCAGCTCCTCCTGGTGGGAAGGACTCCTGCGTTTAGTCTATGCAACTAATTACAGGGATTTTAATTATCGCACACTGTGCGGTCAGCTGTTGCCCGGTTTCCTATTTGGAGTATACTATACGGACTAGTCTATTCAAAATTGTTGCTGTTGTTGTTTTTTGTGGGTGCAGGCCTAGGCCTAGGCACGTCCTGAGCCTAGGCACGCCCTGAACGACAGTTATAAACAGCCCGGGGGATTGCGGCGGCAACACAATCGATTGATTGTGGCCAAACACGCAGCGTTGGACAGGATAAATCAAGCCCCTGACATTTTCTTATGCCCCTCCTAACGTGCGTGAATTTTGTTAATGCACAAAGCTGAAGCAGCAGCTGGAGCAGGAGCAGGAGGAGGGTGTGGGAGTCGGGGCGGGAGCAGGCAGCGGCAACAGGCCAACAGGACATATATCCATATAAAAGCCAATATCCAATTCCCGAAACTCTGCGCGTAATGGACTGAAATCCAATACAGAAATATGCATGAAACACACACACAGAGGCGCACACACACGCACACACACACACATGCACACACTCTCTCTCTGGGCTAGAGACAGACTCCAACGCAGATGTCAAGGAAATATGCGCCGTTTAGTCACAACTGTCAGTTTTCAATTGATTTGTCGAGCCACTGGCTGCTGCGGAGGGCTATGGAGGGAAAGGGGAGTGGGTTGGGGCGTCCATCAAAGCCAACAAAGCAAATGTGAAAACATTAAAGCCATCTTGGTCGAAATATGAAATATGGCTGCGATAGCTCCACACTCCCCAAACCCAATCCCATCGCCCATTGCCTTGGCCATGCCCATTCCCATTTTGGCAGCGCCCGCAGCTCGCTATGCTCCTGCCTAGAGCTGGGCGCGAAGCGTGCTTTTTTTCGTGTCACGACAGATTCGTGCTCTGTTTGATGACTCCTCCGTGACGAACACAATCTCCAAAGTCAGGCCACAGTAAAAAATTATCGGGCATAACATTTGACTCAAGTTCATAGCTCGCATGTTTTACCTTTAATTCGAGATTTACATACTGACTGACAGACTTACTTACTCACTGATTGATTGACTAACAAACTGACTGACGGACTGATTGACTAACTGACTGACTAACTGACTGATTGATCAACCCTTAGCCCAAGCCGTAAGAGCTAGGAGGCTAGAAAATTTTCACTCTAGTTAAGTTATGTGATGAAGGTGCAAGAGCAAGGGGGGTTCGACAAATTCCACTCGTATTTGTGAAAAAATCGCGAAAAACATTTGTATGCAAATTTGTTGCTTACAATCCGATTGGCTGCAAAATCATTTTCAAAGATCTTTGTGAGAATTTATTCGGTACGTATTTGAAAAGTTCTTGGGCGGAAAGCGTGGATTCCAACACTTGGTTCTTCATACGATGCACTGAAAACATATTTATAAATAAAAGTTGCAATCAAGTTGGGTAGATTTCAATTTTCCACGGACGTTAACTTAGTGGAAAGGTAAAATACAAAATGGAATATGAAATTTTTAGCACAAAACGTTCCACTGACAAGGCCGAGCAAATTTTTTTTCGTGCCTTTTCGAATTAGTAAGGAACCGATGACCGCGGGGTCATCTCTAGAGCACGGGTGCTGTGCGTTTCGCTTGGCCGCCAAAAACTTGTTTGCCAGTCATGCAGCAAGTCAATTTTCGTATCGTCATTGTTAACATCATCAATTTGTGTGCTTAATTTGGAAACTGACGCGCAACAAAAGGGAAACAAAGGCCAAGACGTGGAAGCGAGAGGCACCGAGGAATCTCGCTCAGGAGCAGAAATTACCTTTAAAGGCGACCAACATAAATTGAGATGCTGGCGAATTGTTTATTACATTTTCGCACACTTGACGAAAGTGCGGCGATAAATGCCAAAGAGCTCATATATGGCCAGGGCCAGGATACAAGGATACGTGTAGATGTCGATGGGGCTGGGCTTCTGAGTGTGAGATAACACGAGGCAGCCTTGGGGGCCGAAAATCAAAACAATTGCAGCTCAATTCAATTGCTCGCATCGAGCAGGACCAAAGCGAAGCTGGCAGGACGAATGTCTTGGCTGGGTTCATGAGGTTACGATTTGGGCTGGCAACCCTAGAATAAACAGTTACGATTGTGTTACAATTTGTTACAACTGTAAATGTGTGCTGAGAAAGCTCTCGAGGGACTTTTTAGCCAATATAAATTTTGATCCTTCTTGAAAAATGGAGGCAAACATAAATAGCATCAAGTGGAAAACTGAACGTTAACGAACAAGCTGCAGTGGGTGGGGGCGGCGTGTGGCAAGGGGGAGAGGGGAGAGAGGGGGCGTAGCGTGTGGGCGGGGGCGTTGACGACATAAATGAGTGGCGGACTGAGCGCACATTTAGCAGCAAACAAACAGACTTACACGCACACACACGCACACACACACACACACAAACACACGCAGCCACACGCACACAGACACAGACTAACACGCGCACACATACACACACGCATAGCCAGAGAGAACGACACGCACAGCGGCTGTGAAGGACAGCCAATGTTAGAGCTACACACATGTGTCGCTGTATATGTGCGTGTGTGTGTGTGTGTACATGTGTCTGTGCACGTGCATGTGTCTGTGTATGCTGCTTGTATTTGTAATAAAAGCGATGAAAATGGCAACAACAACAATGACAGCAGAAAGGAAAACGAAATGGCAAAATAAATTGAAAGAGAAACAAATAAAAATCAACGAGAAAGGCTGCAAAAGTGGCGGAAAAAAACGAAAAGGATGCACAGTCAGAATGAGAGAGAGAGAGAGAGAGAAAGAGAGAGAATCGTAGCAGTAGCAAGCAAATATTGAACGCACAATAACAACACACACACAAACACACACACACACCCAGAAGTTGAAGGAAAATAATCGTCGATAAAAAGCTGGCGCCAAGATACCCGTAATATGAGCTAACCATTGCCCCTTGCCTTGGACTGAGAAAGAGGGAGAGGCAAGACGCAATCCAGCTGGGCCACCCCCCCCCCCTCCCCTATCCCCCTCCTCCCACCACCTCCCGCATGGCAAGTGGCTTCGCACATCACAGGGCATTATTGGGTGACATGTGAAGAAGCTCTAGGCTTGAAGCCTGAACAGCTTCGGCTTTAGCCCACTTGAATTTGTGTTTTACAAGATACAATTCGGTTAATTCCAAACAAAAGTTAGTCGAGCATGCGAACTGAGTGGCAGAAGGGGAAAACTAGCCTTTTACTTGCCCCCAAAGATCGAAAAACTTAATGATAATTTAACATTATAAAAAAAACCCAAATATGTAATCAAAAAGGTTAAGATTAATCGAATAAATATAAGAGAACTTTAACAAGAATATTATCTTTAATTTCACAAATAAATAGTTTTTTAAAAAATATTAGAACTTGTAAAAAGAATTCCAACAAATTTTCGAAATAAACGTCAAATCTGAACCAAAAGGCTAAAAGGCGTAAAATTCAGCTCAGTTTTGGCAAAGTTCTTTGAAATTCAAAACTTAGGAATTACATTTTTGGAATATTTTTAACAGTTAGACTAATCATAGCCCACAAAATTTAAACAAATGTCGAAAAATTTTCGAAAATGTCGAACATAATATTTTTCAAAGTATTTAAACTGGAGTGCCTGGTAAAATATGGGTTCAAAATAAAGCCGAAACATATATTCGGTTAACTTTTTAGTAAAGTTAAACAAATTTTAAACTCTAACCAAATATTGATGGGATCAATCATGTGTCCTTTCCGTCTGTTACACAAATTTGTCATTTTACAGGGTACAAAAACATTTAAAATGCGAAAGCTAAGTTTGCGTTCGCGTTCACAGCTCCCAAATGGCTTAAAATTTATGGCACAAATAAAAGAACTGGACAGGAGTCACCCAAAAAAAAAAGAACACGCGCAGCGGCAAATGTTTGGGGGGGGGCAGTTCGATTTCGAATGGATGCCCGCAGCAGCTTCAGCCCTACCCCCTTGTGGTCAATCACCTGCCAGTGCGCTAGAAATGAAAACACAAATAAATTAATATTTGGCTTAGTGAAATTCAATTTCTTTACGAGTGTCCTGTGTCCGTTGAGACGACAAAGAGGTCGACAGGGATACGGCTACCGGCTGCCGTCTGCTAGCTGACGATAAAACGCTTTCGTTTTCAGGTAATTGCTTGTAAGTGGCATAAACATAAAACGAAAAGTGAATATTTATGACATTCGACTGGTTACTTTAATAGCAAGCGAACTAACCATTCAAAATTCAAATGTGAACGGTCAGCAAACTATCCGATTATCGTTTCCGCAACAAAATACTTTCGATACTTTCGACACTGACCGTTTCCGGTATTTAAAATTGCGTTTTACCGATTTGGTATTAAGTATATCTGTTGCCTACATTTGTTGCATTAAATCGAAACATGATAATGAATCCTTTTTTAATTCATAGTCACTTAATATATTATTAATTTCCGTTTCTAATGTTCATTGTAAAGTGAAATATATAACTACATTATCAATTTCTTGTGCGCTCAGTATTTTTTGCATTCGGTATTTTAAATGAAGTCAAATGCAGCCACATTGAACAGCTGACTGCAGCTCAAAACAGTTTCAACGTTATTTGTCTTTAATAGGAAAAATTTAAGTGCATCCAAATCGGTTAGATTTACTTAAACTATATAGTGCAACTCTTGGGAATGTACTAAGCTAGTTAGACTGATTAAGATGAGCGCCGCACTGCAAGCAAAGGCGCTGTTGATACGCGCCGTCGAGTGCGATCAGAGCGGACGAATTTTGGAGGCGCAAACGCTTTATCAAGATGGCATTGCCCAGCTGATGACGTTCGTCAGCACCGAGCCGGATGAGGTGAAGCGCAAGGGGTTTCTAACAAGAATCAAAGAGTATATGGATCGAGCGGATGCCATCAAGGCACGCGTCAATGGCCAACTGATGCTGGGCGAAGTCGTAACCCACCTGTCGATCGAGGAGAACGATACTGGAAACGATTACGATCAGATATTCGGCAAATATATGACCAATCAAACTATAGAGATTATGCTCGAGGAGCCCTACCTAAGCCAAAACTATCAGGTAAGCGTAAAGGCTTACGAACAACTGAATTTAATATTAAAACCCTTTGTTGCAGTACCAAAATCTTATACGCTTCTTGGAGCTGGCTGTAACCAATTGCAAGCAACTGAAGTATGTGCGATTGGTCACCAAAAAGGATGCAGCAAATCCGGAACAGCAATCAACAAACCTAGGCCAAATCAAGGCGGATCTGGAGCGCCGAGAGATCTCCTTCTACATAAAGTACGAAGACACATTGCACGATCGGAAAATATTGTAAGCTCTAAGTTATTGCAGCTAACATAAAACTTATCTTATCTGTTCTTTTTTTAGCCTAAGCAATGGCTATATTATCAAAATTGGACGAGGACTGCACTTTTATAAGGCATCCAATCCCATGTACTCCATCGGCCTGACTAACTACAGGTACAGAAAGTGCTTGCAGACAGATGTCGACATTTGGCGAACTTCGCGCATTCCCAATTAAATAAGAGACAATCATCGATTCCAAGAAGCAGTTAGAAAAGTCGAAAGTATTTTTGTGTGAGTTTTACCTTTAAATTTAATAATAAAGTTTTTCAACTTTTTATACCTTTTTGCGAGAAAACGCCCTGGCCAGAGCTGGAGATTTTTCGATGTGCTATAAATTTTGCAGTCGCGAAGAATATATGAATATGGCTGCAGGGACGGTTTTTTGCTGGCACAGAATGTTTAAAATTCATAACTTTCCTGCCACTTCGGATGCGAAGGCAGCTGCACAGCTGGTGGCTGCTTGGAAACCGGCTTCTGTCTGTTGGCTGCTGTTTTAAATGCCGCTAGCAGCGGGCGGCCAATGCAGTTGCATAAAAGACAGAGAGCGGAAGCGCGCTCGATACCTCAACCATTGTCGCCCAAAAGGAGTCGCTGTGTCCTTAACGTTGCAGCTTTAAGCCAGCCAGCTCAACGTCTCTGCCTCGCACTCTCGGCTGGCAGAGACATGTGCGTGGATAATTAGAACTGCGCCACAGTTGGCTGCACATTCTCATTGCCGGGCCAGAGACAGGGTCCACCTTTTGGTGGGGGCCACACACACACACAGAGAGAGAGAAGCACACACACAATATATTTTCAATTTACTTGGTGGCATGCCAAGGATTTATCAACAGATGAAGGCAATTGTTACGCGCCGCGATGAGCCGGCCTAATAAATTGCACCAGAGCTAAAATGCTTTGCTCGCTTTTAAATTTTATGGCCCGTAAGAAGGGCACACTAATGCGACTGTCAAGCCAAAACCGAAGCCCCCGCCCACGCCCCCGTCAACGCCCACAGTTTTTGCCACCCCTAATTTTGGTTTTTAGCACGAACGAAGCGCCTGCAACTGAAATTGTGACTGGGCTTCCATTTGGGCTAAGCTGGCTATTCATTGCTGGGATCATCTAAACAAGCAACAAGACGCACAAGCGAAAGCATGCCCCAAATTGCGTAAGGCTACGGCCTAGGATTTTCTGCGCTCTTGTGGCCCAACCTGACAATTAGATGCTTCAGTTGCTACCAGAAAAGAAATCTGTAACTAAACCAACTATATTCAAACGAGACTAGTGACAGATCCATAATACGAATAATACGAGCTTTAAAGTTTGGCTACAGTTGCAATGTCTTAAGAGACATATAATATTGAGTTAATAATACTTATATTATGCTATAAAGGCAGTTGCCCAGATTCCTGTTTAATTAATTTTGAAAAGAAGCAAACAGTTTAAAACTCTTGCCAACCAAATACTTCGCATTCCCCCAAACATGCGGCAACATACTTAATAAACATAAAGCACGTTCAATTAGTTCAAATTATTGAGATATTATGAATTTTGTACAAACTTCTAAGCAAAATGTCCTATTTATAATATCTTATTAAAGAAAAAAAAAGAAAAACATGGGCTGGACTATGCTTTGGTAAATTTTGATGCTTTTGACAAAGTTTTGTATTTCTTGTTTTCCATACAAGAACCTACTTTTTGACGGATCGTTCCTATGGCGGCTATTTTGATATAGTGGTCCAATGTAAACAAGATTGTGCACGAATGTAGGAAGCATAGTGAAACTTATAAATGCCAAATTTGGATAAACTAAAAAGTCGCCCACACAAGAAGCTATATATGGTGGTCCTATTTTGATAGGATTTGGCACTATATGAGGAGCATAGAAAAACTAATAAATGCCGAGTTTGGTAAAGATATCATAAAAAACCGAAAAGTTTTTCATACAACAACCCACTTACCACTTACAGTGGTCCGATCTAAACAGGATTTTGCATACATGTAGGGAGCATAGTAAAACTTAGAGATGCCGAGGTCAAGATATCTTGAAAAAATAAGGTTTTCCATACAACAACTTAATTTTCATCCGTTCGTTCCTATAGCTATAGTGGACCGATGTTGATAGGATTTGACATATATATATATATAAGGAGCATAGTAAAAATAATGAATGCTGAGTTTGGTCAAGATATCTTGATAAACAAAAAACTTTTTGAAACAAGAAAGAAAACTAAGCTATGCTTTTGTGCATATTTTTGTGTCTGAAAAAGTTTTTGACCGTAAAACCAACCCTCCTGCGACTATATTGAAATGGCGAGAGATCCAAATACATATTAAATATAAATATACAATATTAAATATAAATATATATATATATATAAATTATATGAGTAAGGAATCGCTGTTGTCTCTTTGAAGGACCTGCCAGGAAACGCTTGTTGATGTTGCTGACTTGGCGCAAACAAATAAGCCAACCCCGTCTAATGCTTCTGGAATGCCAAGCAACAGTTAACAACAAATCCTTGCCACGTTGTCTGCCAATTTGTGCGTTCATGAATGCAGTTGTTAAATAGAAAGGAAACTACAATACATGCATAACCAGGGAATTAAACAGAGTCCGTGGCACAAAGGCAAAGGCAGCGGCAGCCATCCAACCAAAAGCATAACTAATCCGCATCTTTAGCTCCAACCCAGAGTGAAGCCAGGGGCAAGAAGGAGGGACTTTTCTATTGCGAGCAGTGCGGCAAGGATCTGAGTGGTAAATGTTAAGCGAAGAGTTTTAGGTTCAGCACTTATGACATTACATTTTATGCGAGTGGGTGTGTGGGAGGAAGTGTGTTAGTGTGTGTGAATGTGTGTGTGTGTGTGTGTGTGTGTGTGTGAATGCGTGTGCTCTCTATTAATTTGCAATGGGTGGGAAAGCAACCCCACGTGGCCCAACAACAAGGGGAACGCCTACCAAAATGCCGACGCACACGATTGTTGTGGCAAAGATTTGTGAAAGCGCCACGTAATTGACTTTGCTGATGGTTGTCCTTGTTTTTGTTGTTCTTGTTGTTGTTGTTGATTGTGTTGCTGTTGCTTAAAATTATCATAGAACAGTTGGTCCGCCGCCGCCCGCCGCCCACCGCCTCCCCTCAACTATGTATCGCATTATGTACACATATACTTATGCCGATTTACGCATAAAACTCGGACAGGGCGAAAGTCCAAGCCGAAGGCAAAAAGGCAAGGCAAAGAAAAAAAATCAAATAAAATAAAAAGGATGGCGCCTTCCGAAGCAAACATTTTCTTTATTTTTATACCCATTGAATATATCCAAAAGGGTCTAATGCTTTAGAGCAAGCGTATGTAACAGTCGGAAGGAAGCATTTCCGACCAAGACGAAGAGCTCAGACTTAGAATTATTTCTTTTAACTGTTTTATACAGCTTTGCTTTTCAATAAAACTGATTTTGATATATATATCAATTATATATATATCAAATTAAAAATTAAGATTTTTAGTTTCGTCCCGTTTCCCAAAACTAGAACGAACTGTTGCTAGGCATGCTTGGTTATGGCTGGGTATCTCCTAGTGGAGCACAGTCGTTTGTTTGTTTTTTTTTTCTATTTTTTTGTTTTTATTATTGCTGGCAGCAGCAGCAGCATCGACTAGAACAACAAACGGCAACTGGCAAATGTCCCACTTGTTACAAGACCCAGCTCTGCTGCGGGTGGATCGGGGTTGGGGTCGGGGTTGGGTCTACAAAATTGGGCCATAACTTTTGTTTTGCTACGTAAAATGGCGCCAAACAACCTATATAGGCCAGACAGAACAGAACAGCACAGCAAAACGCATAAAGTCGACTCTTAACTCTCGAACTACAAACGAGCGGCAATTGGAATCAAAAACGTGCCATCAAACGGGCAACGCATCAGTTTTGATCGCATATTGCGTATACGCAGCGTGTGGCACACACACACATACACACACACACCCACACATAGACACACATACATTTGGCCGCTAAGCTGAGGTCAACACTGGCCGCATCATTAGCGCCCTGGACCGCAGCTCCATTAAGAGCCATAACACCGAATGACAACTGGCTAAAGTCTCAGGCACTGTCCGAATATGAACTAAAGTGATTTTCAAATCTGTCTGTCTGTCCCTCTGTCTGTCTATCTGTTTGTCGGGCGGGCACTTTGGTAGCATTTGTTGCTACTCATTTTGCTGGCAGCGCAGTTGGCGCCAGTGTTGCCAGCAGCCTTTAAAAAGTAGCTAAATCCAATGGTAACGAGAAGGAACAGCTATCTACGGCAGGCCCAATCCAAGTATGGTTAGACAAAAAAGTTGTTCATACAAGAACCTTCTTTGCGACCGATTGTTCCTATTGCAGCTATATGATATAGTAGTTCGATCCAGCCGGTTTCGACAGAAAGAGAGACTTCTGCAAACTGATAGACTAGTAAGCATGCAAACATTAAGTTCACAATTTCAACTTAAAAAAAAGGATAATTTAGCTAGAAAATAGCTGAGTTGGCAGCACTGGCCAACAGTTGGCTCGTGCTAGGCTAGATTAAAAGCTGTCACAGCCCAAACAAAAGCAACCGCAGCGCCAACAATTCACAAAGGATAAGCAACAACAGGAAAAGCAACAAGAACAACAACAGAAACAGTTTTGTTATTGTGTGCGCTTTAGATTTGCAATGTATGCCGATTTATAATCAATCAATGTCAGCGCAAAATTCGAAGTGGGCACCAGCGGGAGGATGGGGGGTGCGCGTGTCTCGGGGTGAGGGGGCAACAACAACAGGAAGCGTATGCTGCAAAAAAAGGCGTTCATTAGGATACAGACGTCATGGCAAGGCCAACCCAAAGACGCTTTATAAATAGTGCGTGCATAATCGGGCTCAATCTAGGCATATTAAAAGCCCAACACATCGCAGCACTCCCACCCACACCCCCGCCCAACCCCTGGCCACGGTCCAAGCCCACCCACCCTTTTATGGATAATTTTTTAGCCCGAATTGGCAGCCCAACCAGATAACATTTCCAAAACTTATTCGTTTTTGATACTCGGCAGGCATTGCGAATCGTTTAAGGACGAAGGAACAAAAGGGAAATTGCAAAATAAAAATATTTCATACATATACATCAAACTGACAAAAATCGATCGAATGTTGATTATTATTACAATAATTTTGGATGTTTATGTACAAAGGCTTTGTTACTATTCAAAATCGACTAAGCAGGAAAAATTTATATAATAAATATTGTAGAAATATTGTTGTAAATATAGTTGAAAATCGATTAAGGACGAAGGAGTAAAACGGAATACGCGAAACTGACTGAAGCAGAATAAATATAAAATATTATTATAATTATTAATACAAAAAAAAAAACTGTCAGAAATACGTATCAATCAATTTTGTACGCATACAACTTTTTAACTTTTATAAATAAAATAAATCTCTATAATTAAAAACATTTTCAGCTGTCTTGACTTTCAAAGTTTGGCCATTATTTATATATATCTATATGGATTTCATTCCAGATTGTCCTGAACAGTTCGCCAAGTCAATTGTTAGAAGATGCTTTAAATCTTTTCTTTTTTGAGTGCCTCCCCCCCTTTTTTTGAGCACCTCCCCCTCCCAAATGAATGGACCAGTCGGTCGCCTAGGCCTAGGTAGTCTTGGATGTTTAATGACTTGAGGCTTTGACAGTGTTGACAACTTGGCAGCGAAAAGTAAGTCGCGGGCTTTAGAAGCCGAATTGTAATTTGAGTAATTAAAATTTGACACGATAATCGAATGGCCTGGCCCCGAGCAGGTAAGCCGCAGTAATTCTCAAGTCTGTCTATATATATGAAAAGGTATATAGGTTTATATATAAGCAGGCAGTCAATGTCAAGCCACAGACTATTAAATACACACGCAGGCACACAAAAGTGCTGAAAAACAAAGCCCCGGCTAAGGCTAAGGCTAAGGCAAAGGCAAAGACGACTCCGACGCAAAGATGAAGACGATGTCGGCAGCAGGAAAAGCAGCCAAAAGCAGCTTCCATAATTCGCTTGACGACTCTCTGGATTCGTGGGGAGTAAAAGCCATTAAAGTAACAACCAGGCACAGCACGTTTTTACGGCGTGGCATTGAGCTGGAGGATTGGGGTTGGGGTTAGAATGGGGGTTAGGATGGTACGTTGGTCTGTTGTTGTTGGTGGTGAAACTCAATCGCAAGCGCAGCAGAAGCATCATAAACGACGGCGTCGGCATTTAGAAAGCGCAGATATTCCTGTCAAAACGATAAGCGCGCCTTACAACCCAGCCCAGCAGCAGGAACTGGAGCAGGAGCAACAGCATCAACAGCAGCAACAACCAAGCCAAGCAGATGCACTCCGAGAAAAACTTTGCATCTGACAATATTTACTTGAATATTCTTAAATTAGCCGCAAAATTTGCAATAATTGCAATCAATTACATTTGATTGAAACTGATTTTAGATACGAGAATTTTAGCCCGCATCCTGTTTATGAAAATATTTAAGGCTTACAATATTTTCAGCAATATTGTTCGTGCAATTCT